CCAGAGGAGGGACAGTGGTTTGGACATGTCCAGAGGAGGGACAGTGGGTATATTGGTAGAAGGATGTTAGAAATGCAGCTGCAGGAAAAAGACAAAGGGGAGACATATGGATGCAGTTAGAGAGGACATGGAGGTAGTTGGAGTGAGGACAGAGTGAGATGGAGGAGGACTCACTGTGGCGACCCCTGAAGAGGAAAAAGCTGAAAGAAGAAGAAGAAGAAGAAGAAGAAGAGGTGTAATTCATGCCCCCATGAATATCTTCAAACAAAGACATTAAGGTTTACTTACATTCCCTGTTTGTTTCCAGTCTAGAAAAACACTCATCATAAAAACTACAAACAGTCACCGTTCAAATCCCTCAGTGACGGGACATCAGCGTACAACTTGGTCACTGAAGGCTTTGGCTTTTGGGCAGAACATAATTTGACCAAACGAGTGACAAATGAAGGGGTGGTGTGTAGGCAATGGAGCCTTTCTCTGGTCTTCTTGTGTTTGGTGCTGATGCTGTTCTAGATGTCACCAAAATGTAAAATAATCAGTTTAAACATTATTTGACTGGAATGTCTTTATTGTAATTGTTCAGGAGAGTTCAGCCTTGCTGCCATTGTTAACAATTATAAACTCATCTTTGGTATAAAGTTAGAAGCCTCTTCTGCAACTATTAAAAATAAATATTATATACTGTGCTTGAGAACTCCTTAGATAGAGAACTTTACTAATTGGCTTTTATGTATGTGAATGTTCCTGGAAAGTGCCCGGAGACAACTTTGATGTGATTTGGTGCTTTATGAATAAACTGAATTGAATTGAGGCATGAAAAGAGCCCTGATGGGCAACCAGCAGGATATCCAAGTTGCTTCTTTTTTAAATAAAATTGATACTTCTGTCTTTTTCTCTAGTCATCCAGTTTGGTTTTGTAACATTGTTTGTGGCGTCGTTCCCACTGGCTCCCCTTTTCGCTCTGCTCAACAACATTATTGAAATACGACTCGATGCAAAGAAGTTTGTGACGGAGCTGCGAAGACCAGTGGCAGCTAGAGCCAAAGACATTGGTATGTCCTATTATTTTAAATATTACTCTAAATTAGACAGTGCTCTGAAAAGGAATGATGTGACAACAAAAATCTTAGTAATGTATGCTATACCTTGTTTTTATATAGGAATATGGTACGACATACTTAGAGCTGTGGCGAAAGTGGCTATCATCATCAATGTAAGTGAATAAGCACAAAATGATTCATTCATTATTCACATGTTGTTAATAACATGAATTGTAACATACTGTATGCACGTCTCCATCTGACTCAGTCTCATTAGATCCCAGCATCCTCTTCTGTCACACCAACCTCAGCATCCCTGAACCTTCTGTTTTTTTCTGTTTTCCTCCTTCTCGGCCATATTCACCATTTTTGTCCAATATATTCAGTATCCCTTCTCCGCATATGTCCAAACTGTCTCATCCACGCCTCTCTAACTTTGTCTTCAAACCTGAGCTGTCCCTTTGATGGATTCGACTCTAATCATGTCCGTTTTGGTCCCTCCCGATGAACACCTTAACACCATCTCTGCCACCTCCAGCTCCTTCTCCTGTCTTTTTGTTAGAATAACCAGTTCCAAACCAAACATGTTATCAAGTCTTACCATCTTTAACCTATTTTTCACTCTTGCACTTTTCCTTCTGTCACAAATCCCTGACACTCATCTCCGTCCCCTCCACCCTGCCTGCACTTTCTTCTTCACCTCTTTTGTGTTTTGCTGTTGTTTTTTGGGTGGTCGATGTGGGGTATTAAACTCATCAACCTTCAGAACCTCTACTCCTTGCAGCTTCACTTTCCAACTGCTCTTCTCATATAGACACAGATTCTGTCTTGATTCTACTGACTTTTATTCCTCTTCTATCCAGAACATATGAACAGGCTTTTTTCCACCTGCTCCCTACTCTCACTACAGATCACCTCATCTGCAAGCATTGTAGTCCATGAGGACGCCTGCCTGGCTTCATCAGTCAACCTGCTCATCACCACAGCAAACAAGAATGGTCTTAGAGCTGATCCCTGATCAACTCCCACCCCACCTTGAACCACGTATCATTCCTACTGCACATCCACTGGCTGGCTGGCGGTGTACATGTCCTGCACTACCCTCACACCGTTCTTCACCTCAGACTCTTCCTTTACTGAAACATGGTTTTCTGCTTTCTTCAGATACACAAAACACACGACAACTTCTTCTGATGTTCTCTATGCTTTTCCATCAATATTCTCAAACCAAACATGGAGATCCTTCTCAGCATAACATCAAACTGCTGCTCACAAATGATGACCTCACTTCTTACCATGGCTTCAACAACCCGCCCACATATCTACATGACGGTAGATATCATATATCATATACTGTATGATATCTACAAGATAAGATAAGATAAGATAGAACTTTATTGATCCTGCAGGAAATTGTTGTGCCAGAGTTTCAGTGTGAAGGAACATAAGGAATCACACAAAATATATATATTAAAACAACAAAGGATATAAAAATGCCAAAAGTTAAGTTCTAAACAAGGTCAGGTCAAGGACAATTATTCTAAATAAACCAGCAGACCGTGCTGAATCATCACTTTGTCGCCGTCTCCCATCCCAAGCAGCACACTGATAGTGGAAAGGAAAACCTCTCTTTCAAACAAGAAGGGTCCTCCAGCAGAACCGGACTCAGGAGACACAGTGATCGGCCTTGACTGAGTGGGGTCAAGAAGACAGTAAAGAGACACAGACAAACACAGAATGGATGTCCAGGTGTAGTTTCTATGGTCTAGATGTAGTTTCTATGGTCCAGGTGTAGTTTATATGGTCTAGATGTAGTTTCTATGGTCCAGGTGTAGTTTCTATGGTCTAAGTGTAGTTTATATGGTCTAGGTGTAGTTTCTATGGTCCAGGTGTAGTTTATATGGTCTAGATGTAGTTTCTATGGTCCAGGTGTAGTTTCTATGGTCTAGGTGTAGTTTATATGGTCTAGTGGTCTAGATGTAGTTTCTATGGTCCAGGTGTAGTTTCTATGGTCTAGGTGTAGTTTCTATGGTCTAGATGTAGTTTATATGGTCCAGGTGTAGTTTCTATGGTCCAGGTGTAGTTTCTATGGTCCAGGTATAGTTGCTATGGTCCAGGTGTGGTTTCTATGGTCTACGTGTGGTTTCTATGGTCTAGGTGTAGTTTCTATGGTCCAAGGGTAGTTTATATGGTCCAGGTGTAGTTTTTTTGGTCCATGGGTAGTTTCTATGGTCTAGGTGTAGTTTATATGGTCTAGATGTAGTTTCTATGGTCCAGGGGTAGTTTCTATCGTCTAGGTATAGTTGCTATGGTCCAGGTGTGGTTTCTATGGTCTAGGTGTAGTTTCTATGGTCCAAGGGTAGTTTATATGGTCCAGGTGTAGTTTTTTTTTGGTCCATGGGTAGTTTCTATCGTCCAGGTGTTGTTTCTATGGTCAATATGTATTTTCTATGGTCCAGGTATAGTTTCTATGGTCCAGGTGTAGTTTATATGGTCTAGGTGTAGTTTATGTGGTCCAGGTGTAGTTTATATGGTACAGGTGTAGTTTATATGGCCTAGGTGTAGTTTATGTGGTCCAGGTGTAGTTTCTATGGTCTAGGTGTAGTTTATATGGTCCAGGTGTAGTTTATATAGTCCAGGGGTAGTTTCTATTGTCCAGGTGTTGTTTCCATGGTCTAGATGTATTTTCTATGATCCAGGCATAGTTTATATGGTCCAGGTGTAGTTTATATGGTCTAGGTGTAGTTTATGTGGTCCAGGTGTAGTTTATATGGTCCAGGTGTAGTTTATATGGCCTAGGTGTAGTTTATGTGGTCCAGGTGTAGTTTCTATGGTCTAGGTGTAGTTTATATGGTCCAGGTTTATTTTATATGGTCTAGGTGTAGTTTCTATAGTCCATGTGCATTTTCTATGCTCTAGGTGTCGTTTATGTGGTCCAGGTGTAGTTTCTATGGTCTAGGTGTAGTTTATGTGGTCCAGGTGTAGTTTCTATGGTCTAGGTGTAGTTTATATGGTCTAGGTGTAGTTTCTATGGTCTAGATGTAGTTTCTATGGTCCAGGTGTAGTTTCCATGGTCTAGGTGTAGTTTCTATGGTCCAGGTGTAGTTTCTATGGTCCAGGTGTAGTTTCTAGAAGGAAGGATAAAGAAAAATGTGTTAATAATTACAATTACAAACATGAAGTATATAGCCAGTAAACACTGCACCAGAGTGAGGAGATGGTCAGTGTGTCCTCCAGAGGTCTAAGTCTATAGCAGTGTAGCTAAGGGATAGATCATGAAACCCATGCCAACCCTAACTATAGGATTCATCAAAGAGGAAAGTCTTTTGTCTAATCTTAAAATTAGATCTTCTAGTTTAATCTTATTTTGCTTTATGATTTAGCTGTTTTTTTTATTTTTTATTTCATTTATTTACTATTTCTTTTTATATGGTTGTATATTGTTGTTTGTACCTCATCAGTGTTCTTTCTTTAAATCTGGTCTCTCTTGTTAATGAGTCCTCAAGGGACAACGAGACTAACCTATAGAAATAAAGTTTGACTGAATGAATGAAAAACAAAGACAATGTGTCAGCCTCATGGACAGAAAGTGGAAGTTGGTTCCACAAGAGAGGAGCCTGAAAAGTGAAAGATCTTCCTCCCATTCTGCTGCTGGAAACTCTAGGAACCACAAGTAAACCTGCAGTCTGAGAGTGAAGTGCTCTGTTGGGAAATATGAAACAATAAGATCTGTAATATAAAATAGAATTTGACTGTTGACAGCTTTTTATGTTATAAATAAGATTTTACAATTATTATGAATTTATCAGGGAGACAATGGAGCTAAACCCGGAGAAATGACCTCTCCTTCTAACTCTGATCAGAACTCTTGAGAACCAGATCAACTGATTCAAAAAAATGTTCAATACAAAAGATCAATTGATCTTGATCTGATCTTGAATTGATTTGGATCAATTGAGACTTTTTAAAGAGTTTTTGGACCCCCAGATAGCAAAGAATTACAATATTACACAGACTGAGTTGTTCTGCAGCAGTGACTGTGTTCAATGAGCGGAAAAATATAGGATTTTTGATTGTTGGCTGGCAATGAATTGAATTGAACTGTTACTAACATTTTACTAACTGAACGCAGGGAAACCTCAAGGGTGTGTACTCAGTCTTTTACTGTGATGAATGCATGGCCCAGTTTTTCTGCATCATTTTGGGACAAGATGTTTCTAATATGGAAAATTTTGTGCATTTAGAACAAAGCAACTGCACAACAATGTGGGGGTTTAAAGACGAATTCTGACCAAAAATAACATTAAGGTACTTTACTATGGAACGGGAGGCCGACATTATGCCATCCAGAGGAAGTGAAAGGCTACAAAGTTTGGTCCTTGGTGGTCAACCACCCAGTCATCTGAGACCAGATGCCCTGTTGGGGGTCGGGGGTTATGTTTTTGGCATTTGCAGCATTTTTTGTTTGCATTTGTGTTTTTTGGTTGTTCATTTCTTCTTCTATTTTCTGTTATTGCAGATTTTCTCTTTTGCCGCGTTTTTCTGTTGCATTTGTCTTTTGTTTTGAAGTTTGCATCATTCATGTGTTTTCAGCACGTTTGAACTGTTTTCTGTGTGTTTAGCTGTTTGCCACTTGTTTGCACTTGTCAGCCACCGTAGTTTTCTCCTTTTTTATACATCAGGTACAACATCTAACTTATGGTGTCTAATAACAACCTGAACATAAATGCCAACCCAACACTAAACAGATTAAGCAACATGGACAACCCGTTTGAACACAACCTGAAAAGTCCACCATTTCTGTCCCAAGACTACCCAGCATGCATGGCCACTGTGCTGCCCCATGTCATATTAAACCTTCTTTTTTTTTAGAGCAACTACAATTTCAGGGTTGATTTTTGAGTTTAAGTATACAGTTTGCCACTGAAGGCTTCATAAATGCACGTGGTCAAAGGAAACACCTGCAAGGCTTAAATTTAATAGAAAATAATTGTTTAATTTAAAAATGCCAATATCACAAATATACATAAAGGGCTGAGATAGTGCAGGGGCAGGGCAGCTGCCTCAGGACCTGAAGCTCCTGGGCTTGATCCCCGGTCATTGCACATGTTGTGGGGTCTCTGAGCAGGACACCCAATCCCGAATTGCTCCCCCGGCATCTACATAGCTGCCCACTGCTCCACCCGGGTACATCCCAGGTGCAATGGGTTAAATGCAGAGAACCAATTTCATCTTTGTATGGGAGCATACAATGATGACAACACATAGCACTTTTTTTAAATACATACACGTGTGTGTGTATGTATGTATGTATGTATAATACTGTGTGTTGCTAAAATGATGTACTGTTTTCCTCCTTTTCTATACAACGTATTAACCGATTTTCAAGTCCTAATTTTGTAACGTCTCTTTGTTTCTTCCAGGCGTTCGTAATCTCCTTCACTTCAGACTTCATCCCACGAATGGTCTACCAGTACATGTACAGTCCTGATGGCTCCTTGCATGGGTTTGTGAACCATACCCTGTCCTACTTTAATGTCAGTCACTTTGAGCATGGCAAAGAAACCATGGATCCATTGCATCTTGGCCATGCTGTTGAAGTTTGCAGGTAAGAAATAAATCTTGTCTCATGTATTCAGTTCCAAGTTTTAGTGATATTAAAATATTACACCATAGTAAATCTTTTCTAAATGTTTTCCACTTCTAAGGAAAATATATGTAATGCTATTTTTTCATCCAAAAAGTGAGTGTTATTTTAACCCCAGCACAATCATTTAATGAGATAGGAAAGTTTTTCTTCCTGGAAGCATACGTTCCATCAAATACAGAAACTCTGCTCAATCCCGAACAAAGTACAGTGTACTCTGACTTATGAGTATCTCAACTAACAAGGTTTATTGAGTTACAAGCTATCTCTGTCAATTTTTTAGCTTTGAAATAAAAAAGTCATAAATTTGGCTTGTAAGCCTGCTTCAGTTACTCCATTAGTAGCCACAGTGAACGCTGCAACATCCGCCCGGTATCCCGTCTCTTACTTGTTCACTTTAAGTAGTTAGCTCGCAGTGGAAGCATCAGTGTCGTGCTCACATTTGTGCTTGCAGTTATTTTTGCAAACCTTTGTTTTTCCTAACATTAATCCAAAGAAAGTGAGTGCAATGAATAAATATATATATATATATATATATATATATATATATATATATAT